AAATGTTAGAGAAAATTCGCAGAAATATGGATTGCCTCGTCTCGAAATCGAATTGTTTTCTACGCTATTGGATCAAAGAAATCTAGAAACAATTGACCACTCTGTGAGAAATAGACTATAGGTAAAACGGTACTCATTGTTGTTGATGATATTGATGATATAGATCAGCTGGAGAAATTGATTGGAGATGATAGTTGGTTTGGTGAAGGAAGTAAAATCATCACAACGACAAGTGACAAACAAGTTATTTCAAATGCTGATAAGGAAGTATATGAAGTTAAAAAATTAGATTTCGAGAAACAACTTCAACTCCTTCAGTTGATTGCCTTTAAAACAAAGCCTTCCACAACGCCTAAGTGTTAGTGAATTATACTGGAAGCAATCCACTAGCTCTTAAAGTTTTAGGTTCCTCCCTTCATTGGGAAAATACATTGAGAAAACTAAAATTAATTCCTGATCTAAAAATTCAAAAGGTTTTGAAAATAAGTTATGACGGACTAGATCATAAACAACAAGATATTCTCCTTGATATTGCATGTTTTCTTAGAGGGGAGACAAGATATTTTATCGAAAGCATACTAAGTGATCGCGATTTGTTTGCATGTCTAGGGCTTGAAGTTCTCATAAACAAGTCTCTCGTAACCATTAATGGGGGCAAAGTTTGGATGCATGATTTGATAGAAGAGATGGGTTGGGAAATTGTTCGTCAACAATCTGTCAAACATCTTGGTACGCGTAGAAGGTTGTGGATTCCACAAGATATCTATCATGTCTTAGACAACAATAGGGTAAGTAATCTAATGATAAGAAACTAAAACATCTCTCTATTACATAATTACTTTTGGTAACTTTGTTTTCTTTTCATATTTCGTTTGATCATTATATTTATTATTTGTTTAAATTATCCAGGGAACCGAAGAAATTAAAGGAATATATATTGGCGTATCTAAGATCGATGATGATCTGCACTTGGAACCTATAGTTTTCAACAAGATATGCATAGACTCATATTCCTATCATACTAAATTCAAAGCACACCTTACTCAAGGTCTGCAATTTCTTCCTCGTTCTTTAAGATATTTGTGTTGGTATAACTACCCATCAGACCGATTTCTATCAAATTATAAGAAAAAAAAAATCTTGTTGAACTTGACGTGCCATGTATCAAGCTTAAGCAGTTTTGGAGTGATGTACTGGTGTGTTCATATTATATAAGTGTTTTTGGTAAAAATAATTATTATTATTATTATTTACTAAGTTATTTCATTTTTCTTGTAGAATCTTTACAAATTTGAAACATATTAACCTTGGTTATTCTAAGCAACTGATCAAACTTCCAGATCTATCTCGAGTTCTAAAACTAGAAAGTATTAATCTCGAGGGTTGTATAAACTTAGTTGAAATTCCTCCACTTAATTTCCAAGGATGTTTTGGATCTCTTACATTACGTGGCTGCACTAAGATTAAATCTCTTCCGAAGATATCGGGGAACATCTAATATTTAGATTTGGGACATACTAGGAAAAAAGAATTTCCCTTATCAATTGAGTATTTTAAAAGTCTTGTGGAGTTGAGCCTCAAAGGTTGTCAACATATCAAGAATCTCTTTGCTCTAATTCCGAGGAATATAGAAGTAATAAGTTTGAGTGGCACATCAATAGAACAAGTGTCTCCGTCATTAATTGATGATCTTCCTCGCCTGAGGGCATTTGATCTTTCAGAATGCAAAAAGCTCAAGAGTCTCCCGACAAACATTTTTAAGTTAAAGATCTCTTGAAGATCTTGGTCTTGGGGATTGTTCAAGATTGAAAAAATTCACAGGGATCCAGGTGTAACCAAGCTCGATTATAATCGAAAATATTTTTGGGCTCCGTCGTCGAGATTCGAGTTGGCGTAGAGAACTAGAGTTTGTCCCAAAATGGCTTTATTATTTAAGCTGTCTAAAGTTCTTGTCCCGCCACACTTAGTTTGCAACTACAACATCTCCAAATCAGGCAATTTCTTTTGTTCTCTTTCAAAGAGCTACGTCTACCTAACTACAATATAGTAGAAATTCCAATTTGGCTGAGCCTTTTATCGTCGTTAACTTATTTAGATCTAAGCGGGAACCCTTTTGAGAATATACCTTCGAGCATCAGACAACTTCATCAGCTGAAAACTCTCTACATTCAAAATTGCAAGAAGCTTCGATCTTTGCCTCAACTTCCATCGTCAATAAACCATCTCAAAATAAGTAAAACTATAAAGAAACATCCTAAAGTCAAACTATAAATAAAGATACTTTCTCTAATATACTTTCCTTAATATGTCCCCACAAGATGGAGCTCCGATAGAGATCCAATCTCGGAAGGATTTTTTTTTTTTTTTTTTTTTGCTTTAGAGGGCGTTTCCCCATGGTTGGCATAATTATAATTTGATGGGTTTTGCCATTTGCTTTGTTGCGGCATTAATCCCTGCAGGCACCTATTCTTCTTACTACTATTGGTATGTAGAAATTACGTTTGATTTACATCTTAAAAACAAGTACGGTCAAATCCACAAATATCGTAACTATGGCGGTAATTAGGTGAACCACCGTGATTTTTCGGTCGCTGATGTGGAGGAGGAGGAGGCTAAAATCACAAGTAGTGGTATTAGTTCCAACCATGTGTTCATGATATACAACGGCCCTAACATATTGTCCAACAAACACCCTGATGCAATAGAGGTATCATTCTATTTCAAATATAGAGTTTCGCCGAAAAATGGGAATTGTGATTCGATGATGAAAAGGATTGTAGTTGGTTTGGTATATGGGAAAGAAGCTGGAAACGAATAGTTCTGTGATAAAGTACTGTTGAAAAATAATTATTATCTGGTATTCTTATACGGCTCAACTATTATCTGGTATTCTTATCCGACTTTGATTTGAAAAATAATTATATATGCACTTAAAGTTGGATATTGAGACGCCTCTAAGTTGTTTGATAAAGTACTGTTGAAACAGAGTAATGTTATCTCATCGTTCAGTTCGTCGATTCGAGTTTTTAATTCTAACTGAGCTATGATTTTATTCTTATTTTTTTAACATTTTACACTCCAAGGATACTTTCATAAAAAGGTTACGATTTGGTCTCTCAGTTGTTTCATAAAATGCATCAATGCACATTCGAACGTATTCTTATATTTAAATGGTAAGTTTATAACGTTCCACAAAATATTGTTATACACTAAAACTTTTGGTCATATCCCACTTTAAACTTTTCCCCTAAATTTGAAAAACTCTACTTTTCGCTCTAAATTTTGAGTTTTGATTGTCAGTTTGATCGGTTTTGAAAGTTAGTTTTCTTTTGTTGAATGCTCTTTTGATTGTTGAACTTGTGTGATTTCAACTAATTATAAGAATAGCTTGATGGAGACGATGTTTGAATTTCACTACTCAATGTTATGGGGTTGTGTTTTTCTTCAAGCCATCGAAAATGTCTTCATAATTCATTGTGGTTCTATGTTCTCTCTGTTTTTCCTCTTTTCGTATCTTCTTAGTTTTCTTGTCTTCTACCTTTTCCGTGTTATACAGAAAGGAAGGTGAAAACCAATCAGTAATTTCATTTTTAGTTTTTTGGTGACTCCATAAAATTTTCTATTTCTCAAGTTGCGCTTTATGTCTTTGAGTTGTGTTCTATTTTCTATTTTATTAATTTCTCTCCTATGTCTGTTCAAAATAATAGATGAAAAACAGAAAGGCATGCATTGTTTTGCTCTTGGAAAGTTCCCAAAATTAAGACACATAAGGAATGATTTTCAGTCCAATAAAATTTATGGTTGATTGTCAAAAGAGTTACAAAACTCAGTTTTTTCTTTCCTTGGAGGAACTCTTCAGTACACCGGGTGTACTACGTCATATTACTTATATGGTACATCCATTTAATGAGAATGTACTATTTAAACATTTTGTCTATGACAGCTTTTTACTTTTATTTTTCCTAATAAGTATTTGCAATGATTGTTAAGTCAAAAGCATTTATCATTCTACTTAATTTATTTATATTAATCACTTAACTTTAAATTATTATTTTTATTCCTAAAATACTGTAATCAAATTTCTCTGGAACGTCCGTTGCTGAACTTTCTTTAAAATAAAATAAAAATAAAAACAAAAAAATTAAGTTGCTAACATATACTATTAGGTGCTTAGATTTTTGACAACTTTGGTTCAGCAAAATAATAAATATCCCTGTTTTGATATTAGCTTCATTTTGACTTGGTATTTCGGTTGATTATTTGACTTGGTATCTTGGACGGTTTGGAATAATACTACATTCGATTCTTTATTCATGGCAATATATATTTTGAACAATATGCACACACACACATATCAAATCAAATCTCCTGTGAAGAGTAGTCTTAACAAGTCAATTGAGACTAGCCCCGTTAGTGTTTAATGGATGTGTGAGTTGCTTTCCATGTATTTAACTTTTTTTAGTATAATATTTTTTCTCACATAAAATTAACTTTACAACTTAAATTTACAACTTAAGTTCTCAACTCGAGTTGTTGTGGAAGAAGTAAAAATTAGGCCCGTTCGGTTCACTAATTCGAATTTTTAATTCGAGTTGAAATATGATGTTGTGTGAGAACTTTTTACTGTAACAAAAAAATTAAATATAACAGTTTCTGAGAGTTTTTTACTGTAACAAAACTCGAATAAGCGAAATGAACGGGAAAGAGCTTCTTCTTTTAAAGTACTACCATAATAAGTGCTACCATGCAGGCAGTTGTCTATATTTTGCTCGTCAAAGTTGATTTTATGTCGATTCAACTTGTGAACGTTGTCTATTATACATATAAAAAAAATGTCCTAATAATTTAGAACATATTACATTCTTTCTTTCCTACTATTCCACCTCACCATATTTCAACAATTCAATACTTTCACATTTACCTTGTTATCCGCACCAAGAAAACAAAATTGTATCCCTGTTAGATAATTTGCCACTGGAAATTTTTCCTTTTTGTTTTTAAATAAAATACTAGAGAGAACAAAATAAAAAGCTCGCCATAAAACATCTCTAATAGTGGGTTTTTTTTTTTTTTAACCCTCTAATAGTTGAAAACACGATGAAGTTTTCAAAAATGCACTTAGGCATCGTTTGAAAACAACTAAAAACACTTTTATCCAACAAAACTTTATAGTTTGCCAGTTGTAACACTTCTAATCTGTAACAAAGTCATTTGACACCTTCCTAATGAGAAGAAACATCTTCTGATCATGCTTAAACTTGGTACACTGGGCAGGATCCCCATTCAGCATCATTTGAAGCCCGCCAAACGAGACGTATATGCCACTGAAAAGAAAAAAAGACACATCCAACAAAGATGCTTGTTAAATTTGACAAAGATTTAAAGAAAATGATAATTGGAAACTATTATTTTTAGGCTCCGTTTGGTATAATGGTTCAAACCAGTGTGATTTTAGTTTTGATTTTGAAACTAGAATCATGATTTATAATTTTGGATCCAAACCATAGTTCTGGAACCGGAATCATAACCAGAGGTTTGAACCATCCAAATTCAAGGGAGAGGTGATTTTATTTTTTAGAGTGGTTTTGATTTAAAACATTACATCAAGATTCAAACTTTGAATCATAACCATCCAAATCAAACACTAGTTTTCAAGAGCCACTTTTTACTTTTTGCAAACAAACAAAGGTTTGAACCAGAATCATGGTTCCAGTTCTAGAACCCTCATACCAAACGCAACCTTAAACTGTGTGTGTGTGTGTGACATAAGAGAAAAGGTAATAATACTATGTCACATACACTTTAAAATCTGATCCTGAACCTTCTTCCGTCAATTTATAGAGCAAGCCATGCATGATGTATTCAAATTTGTCTGCAAGTGATTTCTGCTCAGCCTGAGAACATAAACATGAAATGTTTTCAGTAACTTGACCATCACAACACAGGAAAAAAAAAAAAAAAAAAAAAAAAAAAAAAAAAGGGGGGAAAAAAAAAAAAAAAAAAAAAAAAAAAAAAAAGGAGCGGGACAAAATATCAAGAAAATGAACACAAGATGAGATTTTCTAATGTAGCTCAGTTAAAAGGGATTTTCATTTCGTGGGATCTCATAAGTAGGCAAAGAGGCTCAGGTGTTAATTACGAAACTTCACACTCCTATATTCCAGTATTGTCAATAATAAATAAAATAAAAAATAATAATGAAATAGAAATGGTCCTACGTTTCCTGACTCGCTCTAAGTATTCTCTCCAATCCTGACTCTCTAAAATGAAAACAGAGTCAAGAACAGAAACCTCTCATTAGTTCTTTGTATTTTTGCTTAGCTAGTTATTCTCTAGTCTCTGCAGGTTGTTTTCCTCTAGCTAGATATCTTTCGCTCCTGGTCTCCCGGAATTTAGCATTGTGCTCGTCAGCAAGATCTCTCCGCAGCTTGATAATTCAGTTTTACTTGTCGTGAGAATTTACCTGGTTAAACTCTTAAATAAACTGTTTGTCAGAAACTCTATTTGGTCAGCTCCCCATCAATCTACACTCTTCTAAAGAGTTTATGGTCGATTATAACTTTATTCTTGCCGGTTTCTTGTAAAGAAGTTTCAGAATGAAATTGATCTGTGGTTCACAAATTAATATCCTGTTTTAATTTTTGTTCCTAAATCATCTTGCTAATTATCTCAGACTCTGATCATCCCTTTTACAACGCAAACATCAACAACTGGGCACTGGAATTAAGAAGCAAGCAAAAGAGTATTCAACAACTACTTTTTCTAGAAAATTTCAGGTGTCAACTAAAACAAAAGCATGTAACAAGTTTGCAAATACGAGTTTAAATTTTAGTCATTCAATATCTTGTGGAAGACGAGACTACACATTGCAAAAGGAATAAGGTTACCTGTTTATGGTAGTCGGCGACGGGTACTCCGTTCCAATTTAGTGTGGGAGATAGTACCATCACAAATCTATCTCCTTCCTTCATAGGATATATCTCAGTATTCACATCTAGGTGCATCAACATACCATGCTTCTCACTATGCGCTTTTATCCTAGTAACTAAAACAACACAAACACGGAGAAAAACAAAATGATTCCCAAAATTCCACCGAAACACAAATAAAAAAGTTGAAGAATTCTTTGGTTGGTTAGGGAAAAAATACCAGTAGACACATTTCTGAACTATCAGATTTTCATCAATTTATGTTAAACTGACATACTTTTCTTAACCTGATATGTCAATCGAACGACTCAAAACTACGTCTCACAGGTAGGTTTTTTTCATACCTTACCACAAAATTCTCCCAAAAAAAATAAAGTTTTCAGCAATTACAAAGAATGTCAAATCGATACTCAAGAAAACTTTTTGCAGGGCATGAAGAAATACTTTAGATTTCCATCAAATTTCATTAGTTTATCGCACTTTTCTGCATACGGTAATTTTGATGAGAAGTGACGGTTCAGAATTGTGTCCTATTGGTAAAGTCTATTTTTTTTTCCTTGCCCAACCTCATGATTCAATAAGGAACAAAGAGCATACACATCATGGAGAACCTTAGATCAAATTTTCCGGAGCAAAGCTTTAGAGAAGTACAGAAACTCAGATGTGACATCTTTCATAGTAAAATCAAGTCCTAGAAATTTCTCTGATTCTGAAGACATTTTGCAACTACAATCTAAATTGCAATTCACAAACACATCTTAACCCTACACAACAAACACATATGACATAATAATACAATGCCAGCAAATAAATAAATAAATAAATAAATAAGACTTTGCCTATATGAATATCATGATCATCTTCATATGCTAAAAACGCCAAATCTCTCTCGCTCTCTCTCTACCATAAAAAGCGTACCTTTATCAAACTTTTCTTTATTTGGGTTTAATTCTTCCACTGAGAAAATATCGTCGAAGAGGAAATCAACCATCCTTTACAGACAAATCGCCCCTTAACAAAAAATGGGCACCTATAAAAAAAATACAAGAAAATAAAAGGAAGGGAAAGAATCAGAGAGAAGTAAAAACTACAAGAGAACGAATTTATCAACAAAAATACTAGAGCAAAACTCAAAAAAAAAAAAAAAAAAAAAAAACAAACCTTTGGAAAAAAGCTAAACGGTTTAGTTTAGCTAGAATTAAATTAAGAGAAGGGCAAATTTTCCGGCTTCGTCGGTGGAAGAGATTAGAGAAGAGAAGAGGGACTTGGGTTATTGTTGTACACTCTGCAGAGCCGCACCCGCTGGTATTGAAATGGTATGGAAAGAGGAGTGCAGGGTTTAGTTGTGGGAATTTTTGCATTTTATAGAGACGACGACGTGGTTTAGTTTAGCTAGAATTAAATTAAGAGAAGGGCAAATTTTCCGGCTTCGTCGGTGGAAGAGATTAGAGAAGAGAAGAGGGACTTGGGTTATTGTTGTACACTCTGCAGAGCCGCACCCGCTGGTATTGAAATGGTATGGAAAGAGGAGTGCAGGGTTTAGTTGTGGGAATTTTTGCATTTTATAGAGACGACGACGTCGTTTTTTTTAGAAAAGTAGGCAGACGACGTCGTTTTTTGGAGAAAAGTGGGCAGACGACGTCGTTTTTTTGAGAAAAGTGGGCAGACGACATTGTTCGTTTGCCGTTCTTAAAATCCGCGGGTTTGAAGCTGGACAAATAAAATTGATTAGCGATTCTTATAAAATTTAACCCAAAAAAAAAAAATCATATGCTCATCGCATGACATTTTGGGACTCATTTAGTTCATTAATTTGAGAATTTTTATATGAGAATTTTATATGTAATTTTATATGAGTTTTGTTATAGTAAAAAAACTCTCAGAAACAGTCACATCTTATTTTTTTGTTATAGTAAAAAACTCTCATATAAAATCGCATCTCAACTCGACTCAACGAACTAAACGAGCCCTAAAAGTTAATTTCCATAAATAGTCTTAAAATTTTAGATGTTTTCAGTTTTAGTCCTTAATGTACACAAATTCCATCAACTTTTAACGTCTATTACACAAAATAGTCCAAATTGAAACAAAATAAAATTTCATAAACTAACTGTGAGACGTTTAAAAAGTCAAGAACCAAAGTAGATTTAAGATAAATCTCGTGAACTATTTGTAGAATTAATCCTTAAAATTTTATAGAAATAGTTACAATATATGCAAATTTTTTTCTCTTTTACTATTAAACTATTGAAAACTTTAATATTTTGTAACTTTCTATTATTATGCATACAAAATTTTCAAATTCTCTCTTTTTTACTATTAAACCTCGTAAAAAAAATTTAGGGTCTGTTTGGTTCACGTATTTAAGTTAGTAATTTTGATTCATTAGCAGAAATTTTGTTAGAGAAGAAATTTTTTAATTAAAGTTCTTTGTGAGATGAAAAATACTATAACATAATCAGAATTATTAGTTCAAGTATAAGAACTAAACGGGGCCTTACGGAATGTTTAGGAGACGTATTCAAACCTATGATTCTGATTTTGTTACATACTAAATACGGGCGTGTTGATCCCAATCCCGTTGCATAAGCCTATCCCCTTCACACCCTCTTTCGTCGACTTCAATCTCGTTCTTAATCCTCTCCTTGTGCGACCCACACCCCAAAAGTTTACTCAATTTTCACTTGATTAGCTCAATAGATTTATTTATTGAGGAGGTTTTATAAAAACTAAATGATATAAGTTGTTATAATCTTACTACAATACCATTGCATACCATATCGCATGCATTCCACTTGATTTAGTCCCTTGAAAATCAAGTACCATTTTAATTTTAATGTTGATGTTGACATTTCTAAAGTCGGGACCTAATTTCAAAATCAAGGGACATTTAGTTGGAGGATTCAAACCATGATTTGAATCATGATTCATGGTTCGATACAGTATTTTTTCTCATAAAAAATACACGTAAATAGAAAATGATATTAATCACATGATTCTAATCCATGAACCAAACGTCTCCCAAAAAATTAAAACCAAGTTGTCACCTACTAAATACATCAAGAATCAATAAACCTTAAGAAAAAAGGGAAAAAAGGGAAAAAAAAAATACACGACAGATAAAGAGAAAACTTTGTCACGGAAATTATTGTAGACATTAAAAGTATTTGAAATCAATATTTCTTTTTTTAGGTTATTTTCATCAATGACTTCTGAGGATGTGCACATGTCTTAGTTTGACCCTCGATGTTCCTTTTTTAAGACCTAGCTACCTTGAAATTTCTAAATTATAAAGCTTATCCCCTTTGTTAATAAAATTATAAATTTTCTAACAAAATGTAGCATGAATGGCTTGTGAATGTTTTAAGAGGCATAAAATGGTTAAAATAAAAGCATGTCTAAAAGAAATTTATTTCAAAGAGGAAAAAGTAAATTTGAACTGAGCAACATCATCTTATTTTAATTTTTTTTAAAATCTACTTGACTTTTTGTCTCTTTTAAAAGCTCGCGTGTCATTCTCGTATTAGATTCTGTATGACAAAAAAAATAGTAGGGCAACACTATATAGTTAAAAAATGTGAGGGTTGCTTGATCTCTAAGATCAAAATTACACAAATACATATTCAGGGACTAAAAATGTAAATAATCCTTCTTTTTTTTATAATTTCACTTGTGCCCTTAAATTTTAGAGTCATTTTTAGTTTGTCCTTTAAACATTAAAAACTCTCACGTTACCTCATAAACAATGAATTGTTCCCACTTAACCTTTGTTGTTCTAACTTCTGTTAAAAATAAATAAATAAAAAGAATAACGCAGTCATGTAGACTTTTATTTGAATTTATGTTTAAAAGAAATAAATAGAAACTATGTGACCACATTTAACCCGTTTTTTTTTTTTTTATTAACAGAAATTCTTACAAAAGGACATATAGAATAAATTCAAAATTCATGGGACAAATTAGAATGAACCTAAAGTTGAGGATTTTTTTTTTTTTTCAAATTGGAAAAGGTGCAAACCAAATCACCATGTCAAGTTTCGGTCAAAAGAAACAATAGACCCTTTTGCGATACTCTTACAGCCCGTTTAGTTCATAGATTAGAACCATGATATTAGAACTATTTTTGATTTACGTGTGTTTTTTGTGAGAGAAAATACTGTAGCAAACCATGAACCATGATTTGAATCAAAGAACGAATCCTCCAACCAAACACGCTCAATTCTTAACAATATACCCCTGCTCTAAGTTTGGTTTAGGCTAAGGGGATGTGGGATTAACTCTTCATTAAGTGAAGCCTGATGTATTGACAATAGTTCACCTCTGAGGACCAATAATTTTGATGTATCTAACTTATTATCTTATTTTTTAAAAGTGAAGATTGATTGTGTTTTTCGGAAGGCAAATAATGCAACACATCTTCTAGCTTCTTTTACTCTTAATATAGACTTAATATAGACGATAAGCTTATTTAGTTGGAGGAATCTTGTCTACCTATAAAACTGTTATTGTACTTAATGCTTTTAATCAATAATAGTAATTTCTGATTTTTTTTAAAAAACCATTTTTATCAATTGTTTAAGAATAGTCTGGAAAAAGAATAAAGAACCAAACTGTTCTTAACCATTTTAAAGAGAAACACGCCACATAATCTTGTCCTTTCAATTTATTATCCTCAACTCGAGAAACGACTTGTCATTTTTTCAATTCGCTTGCACCTTTGCTATTTTTCAAGTTTTATTATTATTATTGTTATTAAATTATTAATATTATTATTACTATTATGAAGTTTTTCTCGCAGTCACTCTCACTAATAGTGTTAATTTTTAACTGTTAAATTATGTTAAAATCACATTATATTTAAAAAATATATAAAAAAATAATTTTTAATACACATTTAACGGTCGAAAATAAAAACTATCCATTTTTTTTTTTCAACCGGAGAAGTTCCTTTATTGTTATTGTTAAACCAAAAGTAATGATAGAACATTTTCCTAGCAAATCTTACAAACGACATTTTCCTAGCAAACCTTTACAAACGACATTTAAAAACCATACAAACGACATTTTCCTGGCACCAAAAAAGAAAAAAGAAAAAAATTCCGCTCACAGCTCTTGAAGCTAAAAAAATAGTAAAATTAAAATACTCTCTCTCTCTCCCCTGTTACAGGCAATTCCCTCAGTCGCGGTGGGTTTCGGTGACGCCATGGTTCCGTTCTCTCACTACTGATCATCATCATCGTCTCCTTGATTTACGCATTCCTGATCCTCTTAAAAACCCATTTTCTCAGTCTGCATTTGACTGTTATTCAGTGCCCAGTCGAAACGAAACTCCTTTGCGTTTCTTCTCTCAGTCATTTTCTCGAACAGCTCTCCTGTGCAGAGCACCATGTTGCTGAGGTACTTCACTCGCATTTGTTTCCAATCTGGGTGTCTCTAATTTCTCCCCATTGATGATGTTAGGACGCCATTGTTGAGCTTGATGTCCCAATTTTGCGTGTTTTTGCAGGTCAATCTTGGAGCTCTCGTCCCGTCGTGCTGTTAGAAGAATCCCTAGGCAGATTACATCTCAGGCATGTAAATATTTATTGTAAAATTCATTTCAAGAATCACGGGTTATCATATGAATTGTTGTCATTTGAATATGTTGCAATATGCTACTGTTAATTGATTTCCAATGCCGATTAGTCCACACTGAAACTTATGAGGAAAAGTGAAGGGGAATAATTGCACTGGGCTTCAAGGTTAGCCTGGAGTAGCCCGATATTCTTATATGGCTGTGGTTATGTTGGCTGTGGTTATGTTTATATTTAGACGATCTGGGACTCGGGTATTTTACCCTTAATACTTAGTTGATAATGCATTTGGTCGTTTCCGTGGCAGTAGGTACATATTTTTTTAGAAAGGAAATCATCAACTACTAACATGTATTGAAACTCACTTTATTTCTAAGCTATTGGATGGACGAACGGACTAGTTTAGGACAGTTTGGTAGATTAGGGACTCATTTTGGGACGTTTTAAATGTCAAGGATCAAAATGGCATTTGACCTCTTGTTCGGAGACTAAATGAATTTTACCTTTTTGATTTTACCATTTTTCTGTTGTTTCAAAAATAATCAGAAAGAAAAAAGATATAGTTAATAATGCTTTCGGTTTTCAATTGCAGTAGATACATACATTTCTCAGGAATTGGTTTGGAACTTGCTAGGATGTTATGGAAACCATTTGTTCCCTTTTCGACATTTTTGTTTCATTTGTAAATTGTGTTTTTGGTGTACAAACAATTGTAGCAGACACCAATATTTCTCAGAAGGGAATTATCAACTACACCCCAGAAAAGCGCAACCCCTCAACCTAATGCTGCAGGCAAGCCTGCAGAATCCGCTGGCTCTGGATCGAAACTCATCTTTGGAAGTGCCGTTGTTGGTGCCACCATTTTGGCTGCATATCAAACGGGATATCTGGACCGAGTTCTTGGTGGTAAGGATCAGCATGGTTCTCCAAAGGCAGTTGAAGGACCAACTGAGAGCAGAGATGTGAAAGATATTGAGCAGCTTGAGAGCCACGCGGTTTTGCCCGATAGTAAGGAAGCTAAGGAAGTGGCTTCTGCTCCTGCTGAGAAAATTGAAACTCCTCCGGATCAGCCCCATGTTGTAGACTCAAGTGAAAAACAAGATGAGATTCAGTCTCAAGCACAAGATAAGTCTGATGCGAAACCAGATGAAAGTGTCATTCCTATCAAAGGGAAAGATCTGCTGGATGATTCTCAAAGAAGAACAACATCTGCTGATCAAAGTTCAGTTTCTGGTGTATCATCTGAAGGGGGTGTAGATGTAAACAGTGCCGAGGAAAACACTGACAAGGGATCAAATGAGGAAGTCCAAACTTCACCAATATCTACCCAGATCAATGAAGCTGAGGAAGTATGTGAGGTGAAAGTTGCGTCACCTGTGCACATTACCATAGAGGAAAAGGAGGAGGTAGTCATGGTTTTGGCTTGTTATAATCAACTAATAGTCTAATACATGTTATGCATTATTATTATTTGGGTCTTGCTTCATGATGGAAGTTATTGTGTTTCTCAACGAGTGCGCGGTAATTTTTGAATTACTGTTGAAGGTGATAATGAAACTTGAGCTCGACCAGGGGTTTTGAAGCTAGATTCTGTTCATTCATGCATTGTTGTTTATGCATCAATGGCTGTAAGCTATTGTAAAATTTCTTTATGCTCCTCAACCCCTTTCTTCCACTAACAAACTTAAAGCAAATAATGATAAAAGGAGGGATAACATGATACTGCCTTATGGTCTTAGTACCCTAATTCATCTCTTTCTCATCTTGGGATGGAAAGGCTTCATAAAAACAGCTTCTAGACTGTATAGTTTTGATACCATTGGGCGATCTTGAGGAATTTTATTGTTTCAAGATTTCTTCTATTAACTTTGGGAACAAAACTATAAATAATTTTCTGTATTCTGTAACCTAACTCCATTTATTTGCATACTTTTGTATATTCTATTGGTAGCAAAAAATTATTTGGCTGCTCTTTTGAATCTTATTTTTTATATTTTGAATTTGGTTCTGGTGATTCGCATTTGCAGGATTCGTTAAGTAAAGATGTAGAACAACCTAGTTCTCTCCTTGAAGCGTATCATTTAAGGGATAAGGCTTATGGAAGCAGTGAAACATCTTTGTATAGACATAGTGACGATGACCACTTTGCTACGGAAAAAGAGGTAAGATCTGCTTTCTTTTTTTGTTATTTTTTTCTTATCATGGTCTAAATGAAGTAAAGGAATGTCCAATATTTGCCTAAACTGGTCATCTGGACGGACAGGCCTTAAGTAATGCTCTTGAAGAGTTGGGTGATAGTTACATAACCAAAGATGGAAAATTAGTTCTCGACTTTTTACAAGCCATTCATACAGCTGAACAAAGGCAAGCTGAAATAGATGCCCGTTTGTATGCGGAAGAAAAGAGAGCATTGAAGGTGTGAACTATTGTATCTTTATCATAGCATAAATTGTTCCTGAGATTTATATATTCACTATAACAAGGTTCTCACTATTATATTGTTTAACTTTTTACAAATTGTTGTAGGATAAGCATGAAAAAGAGTTGAAGGATGCTGCAGTGAGAGAACTGATGCTTGCAGAAGAGGCAGCAATGCTAGACAAGGTTGCACTTCTTTCCATCTGTTTCTCTTTCAATTTCTCCCTCTTCTATTCTTTTTTATTTCAGATTTTTGCCTGCTCATGATTTTTTGGTTTTTTCTTTTGTTTTTTTTTTTTTCTGGTCTGATTAAAAAAAACATAAAAATTGGTTTCTGATGAGCAATTTTATGAAAAAAAAAAATACTCTGCATTTATGTGACACGGTTTTAGAGCCAAGAGCAGTCTGATGGCTTGAGATGAATTATGGACTGCAGTTAGCACCTTGTATGTCATAACCCTGAACAAATTTAAACTTTAATAAGAATTAAAAATTCAATTTGCAAATATTCTTGAACATGGAAGTACTACAAACTTGTAGACTTACACTCGAATAACCTAACCATGGCTGCATCTATTTGGCAAATTCATTGCCTTCTGATTACTGAAAAGTGAAGATACAAAACCAACCCGGTACTTGCTCACTCTCAGTCTCCATAAACAATAACAACTTCGGATTACTGAAAATTACAGCTTTTTATCTTGTTTCAGGAATTAAAGAGAGAAAGAGCAAAAGCAGCTGCTGCACTCAAGTCACTTCAAGAAAAACTTGAAGAGAAATATAAGACAGAGCTGGAGCAGAAGGTAGAAGCTTTGGTTCATACTTCAAAAAGTTTTATAAGGTGCATCAGCATCTGAGCAGTGATAGTTGTTATTTTTAAAATTCAAGTTGATAATCTATTAGCATTTCAGCAACGTGAGGCTGAATCCAAGTTGGAAAAGGTGGAAGAATTAGGGAAAGCGGAACTGGCCGCAAAAATTGTTAGTGAGAAGGCAGCCCAACTTGAAAGAATAGCAGAAGCAAATCTTAATGTAAGATATGCTTAGTTTAATGTCCTTAGTTTGATATTAATGTAAGATATGCTTAGTTTAATGTCCTTAGTTTGATACTCGTTCATATTTGATATATTCGAAAAAGGTTGATGAGATTCTGTGGCAGAAAAAGATCATAAGAGTGATTTTTTAAAAGTTCAGTTAAAAAGAGTTTTCAGCATATGCTTTGCATTGACAGATAAATTGATTGCTATATAAAGATTGAACAGAAAATTCAGAATTCTATTTGGGGAACTCCTGTGGAAATGACTAGTTTCAGAATAAAGTTGTCGCCATTATCAAGATGTAGTTTTCACAATGCATACATCTATCAATGTGATGCCATTTCCGAGAGTTTATTTCCTATAAAAGCTGACATAGTCTAGCATCTCTTTTGTAGATAAATGCCTTGTGTATGGCCTTCTATGCACGGTCTGAAGAGGCTCGTCGAAGTCACTCTGCTCACAAGCTTGCTTTGGTAAAAGCTTTTCTTTGTCATGTAGTTATTGTGAACCTTTGGTTATAATAGAACACTCTGTCTATTCGCTGTAATTTTTCTGAACTGCGACGCCATAAACCTATGGTTATATTTATGGATCTTGTAGGGAGCACTTGCACTAGAAGATGCACTTTCAAAAGGGTTGCCAATTCAAACGGAGATGGAGGCTTTGCACAATTATCTTGAAGGCATTGATAAGGATTCAATATTAGACTTGGTGTTATCTTCCCTTCCTGATGAAACAAGAAACAGGGGCACAGACACTTTGTTGCAACTTAACCAGAAGGCAAGTTACTTTATGATTAAATTTTTTATTCGTCTCTTGAATGAAGATAAGATCTTAGTTGAACACATTGTAAACACGAATTAAAGTTCCATGGTATGGATGCTGGAATGTAATGAAAAGGTAAGGGGTTTGTAAAGGAAAAGAAAGGAATGAGAATAGGGATAATTGATTCCCTTTTTAGTGTTTACTTACTCATTAGAAGGTTGAATGGGAAACAATCCAATTCCCTTTCGAGTTTTTACTAAACATAGAAATAGAAATTTTATCAATGTAATTACTGAAATGTCCTTTGCATAAATTAAATAATCATTGGCTCATAACATGTGAACTTATCAAGGATATACAAATAAATTTGGCATTCATTCCTTTTAAACGGAAACCAATACCAAAGGGTCCAAGGATTGGTAGGCGGACCCCAGTGCCAAAGAGGCTCCCGTACTATGACAGGCTCGGGAGAAAGTTCAATCCCATATGTACGCGGCCTTACCCCCCGAAGGAGAGGCCGTTTCCGGGATTCGAACCTTGGACCCCGGGTGCAAATGCAAGCGCTCCCACCACGGTGTCAAGGCCCGCCTTCGGTCCAAGGATTGGTATTCTTTTTAAATTGTGTGGGGCTGCTAAACTAGTATACTTAACTTTTTTAAGTCGACACATGATTTAGTAGGAAGGGGAAACACTCTTCCTTTCCTTTTCCAAAATTATGTGCAGTAAATGCGATGTGCTAACTTCCGTTTCTTTATCAGTTCGATGCCTTAAAAGGGACTCTGCGGCACTTCAGTTTAATCCCTCCAGGTGGCGGCGGCATTTTAGCACATTCTGTCGCACATTTAGCATCCTGGTTGAAGGTAAAGAGCTAGCGAAATCTTTCTTTTATCACCGCATATTTCTGTGACCGAAACATCTTTTTTTAAGTGCCTTGCAACTCTTGTGCAGGTTAAGGAAGCTGACCAATCCGGCGATGGAATTGAATCTCTGATCAACAAAGTTGAGTCCTATTTGGCTGAAGGGAAAATAGCTGAAGCAGCAAATGTTCTTGAAGAAGGTGTCCAAGGCACCCAAGCCTCGGAAATAGTTCGCGACTGGGTGAGGCATGCCAGGAATAGAGCCATTACAGAGCAAGCTCTAGCACTGCTTCAGTCCTATGCAACTTCCATCAGCCTTGCATAAATCTTCAAGTTTTGATCAATCGTTATGGGCCCTACATGTTTTGGTCTTACCCTTTTGATATTCCGATTGACTTGGAAGTCAACCAAACACAGTTTTTTTAGCAAGACTGATCATCAATACAAAGAAATAGAAATCACCTAGTTCAACAAATAATTGACAGGAACATGGAGATGACCCTTTTTTTTTCCCTGCGATCTGAATTCAATTCTTGGCGAGCTTTGTAAGAAAATGTAATCTTTTTCTTCTGGTCCAATTCAAAATGGCCTTATTGAATAAAATTTTGTCTCTTGTTTCTTGTTAAGTAAATTCTGAGTCGATCGTTCATTTAGGGCAATATTTTCATCTTCAAGTCTTATGAAAAAAGTAAATGGATATGAAGAGCACTGTCCCATGGCCCCAGTAGAATTACCCTCTCCTCATGGCCCCAGTGAATACCTCTATACTATTTCATTCAATTACTCTCTCTCTCTCTCTCTCTCTCTCTCTCTTTCTCTCTCTCTCTCTCTCTATATATATATATATATATATATATGTATATGTATATTTATATGTATATATCACTATTTACACATTTACCCCTTGAACTTTTTGTGGTTTGGTAACTTGCCCTCTCCTCATGGCCCCAGTGAATACCTCTATACTATTTCATTCAATTACTCTCTCTCTCTCTCTCTCTTTATATATCGCTATTTACACATTTACCCCTTGAACTTTTTGTGGTTTGGTAACTTGCCTCTTTAACTTTTAATTTTGACAATTTGACCCCTAACATACAAAATAGTTGACATGTGTCCTATTTTAATGATGATTATGTTATATTAGTGACGAAAAAGCATGTGTGATGAAATATTTCAACATTCCAATTCAAACCACATCACAAATCTCTCAATTCTTGAAATCTAACAAACAATCATAGCAAAATCAATAAATGGAGCAAATTGCAACTCTTTTATAAGTAGATGGAGTAAATTATCAAAATTAAAAGTTTAGAGGGTAAGTTGTCAAACCCTTACAGGTTAAGGGGACAAATGTACAACACACCTTATAATAAAAGAATTACCTCTTCTCATTTAATTGGGTAATATTTATCTTTTTAGTTTTCTTTTTTATTTAATTAAATAAGTTCGCGACTAGAAAAGAAGTTTCGTAACGGACGTTGAAAAGCTGATGAAGAGAGACCACCTAAATCTGATTACGTAGCAAAATGGCTGCTTCTTTTGAGCTGTCAAGACACATGCCTGAGCCTTTTTCCTATTTCTTTTATTTGTTATTTTAGCATCTTATAATTCATTTTATTGTTATAAACTTCGCATACATTATCTCTTTGTTTGCATGTAGTACCAATATTGGCATGTGTTGCTTTCATTTTGTTCTAACGTCCATTTTTTAATGATACTTCTTTTGAATTTTTTTTTTGAATTAAAAAAAATGTCATTAAAAAATTGACGTCAGAACAAATTGAAAGTGAAATATTTTTTTAGTATCCTAGTTACCTCATAGATGGATTTAGCAGTTATCAATCATTATTACAATGTTGAGTTTGTAGCCAAAAAAAAAAAAAAAAACATTACATATTAAATATTCTTAGGACCCGTTTAGTTTGCTGATTTGAGTTTTTAATTCGTGTTGAGATGTAATTTTATGTGAGAGTTTTTTACTGTAACAAAAAAATTAGATGTGACTGTTTCTGATAGCTTTTTACTGTAACAAAACTTAAATTCTAAACTCAATCGGTAAAATGAAAGGGCTTTAAATTTTGTCTGCATGGCAACTCTTTTCACAACGGTACGACTGTATTATGTGTTATTGCTTCAATAGAACTATACATAATGCATCCCATAGTTTTTTGGATCCGCACTAAAAAAAAAATCTAAAAAATATCACTAAATTTCATCAAAATATTACATATGTCTCTCAATTTTTGAAAATTCAAAAAGCGTCACAAGCTAGGATTATTGTCAATTACAAACTAATCATGGTCGTGAGCTCCAAAGAATTTAAGATTAGTTTTATTAAAACACTACCATCTACATAAAAATAAAACCCCACTACTCATAAAAGATAAGTCTCACTGAGGCTAATCTCATTTTTTCGTTTGTCACGAGTAAATTCAGAAAAAGAATTTGTTCTCAGTTATTGTTACTACTTAAATTAACTGATTAATTTGTTGAAAAATTAACTAAATTAAATCAGAAAGTTATCTATTTTACCTAATTATTTATACAAAAATAAAAGTTAAAAGACTTTCTACAACATAATAGTCTGATATTTAAAAATCATTATTTGTGATTAATCAAAAGTTCAATGGTAAACGCGATTAGTAATGTTTAGGTTTTTTTTTTGTTTCTTTTTTTTTTTTTTGGTATGTGATTCATTTTGGTTTTCCTTGAGTTTGTTTTGAGAGTCAATCCTAGGAGTTAATGACTCTCAAATAAATAAATTATACAGTTGAAATTAATGGTTTTCAGACCATAAATATAATACTCAAGCTGCTGATAAAGACATATGACAGGTTTTTGTAAGGATATTGATGTCATAAGGATGTATGTTTTTTTGTTTAGACTATTTTAAATTGCAAAGAAAAGCATACCCCTTTTTCTAAGAAGAAAACAATTGCAAAGAAGCAAGATCCTTTTCTTCTCTACTTTTTAGAGCTCTAGTAATATATTATTTCCTATACTTTTCAATAATTCTGGAAGCAAAGAGGACTAAGAAGTTTTTGTGTTATGTATAGTGATGGAATTTTAGACGGGTCGTCTGCGACCGCCTGAAAAAATTGATTTTGAACTCAACCCTCGATCCGACCCGCCCGAAAAAAAAAAAAAGTAACAGAAAAATCCATGTGTTGTGTTCACTTTACATATAATAGGCCATGTGGATTGAGGATTGTTAATTGAATAATAAAAAATAAATAATTGGCAGGGAATAGAATGATACATAACCAATAATGAACCCTGGGATCGTAGAGAAACTATTTGCAATGCAAAAAAAAAAAAAAAAAAAAAAAAACCCCAAAAAAAAACCCAAAAAAAACCCAAAAAAAACTCAAAAAAAACCCAAAAAAAAAACCATAAAAAAACCACAAAAAAAAAAAAGCGAGTGAAACATGAAAAGGTAGTTTTATTAATTATTTGTTTAAAAATTGCGATTTGAATTGCGCATACATTGAAAATGTGGCTTCGGTGGATCTCATCTCAGGTATGAGCTTGGATTATTATCACAGACAAACAAATTACGGTCGCGTCCTTCAAGGAACTAAAATTAGGTTTGCCAAGAGTAAATTCAGGAAAACAATATGATATCCCCCACCAATAACATTAACTAATTATTGTTTTTGGTTGAAAATTTTACTGAATTAAATCTGCAAGATCTCTATTCTACCTAATTTTTTGCACCAAAAACAAAAAAATAAAATAAAATAAAATACTTATTTTGTTGCTCTTTCCAAAATTATTAATGTTTAACTTAATCACATTGTACAACATAATTGCCTGATATTTAAACATCATTACACGACACTATGTTATTAATCAAAAGACGTTCAATAGTAAACCTGATTACTGATGTTAAATTTTTTTCTAATACAAAACGATATTGAATCTGTAATCTCCCTCTAAACACCAATCAAAACTACGGAATGGTCTTAGGCAGTTTTTTTTTTTTTTTAAAAAAAAAAAATTTATGTGGTTTGTTTCGGTTTGTGATTTGAGTTCGTTGATAGTCAATCCTAGATGTTGTTTGGTTGGGGGATTCGTTTTCTAATTTGAATCATGGTTCGTGGTTCGTTACAGTATTTTCTCTCACAAAAAATACACGTAAATTGAAAATAATTCAAATCACATGGTTCTAATCCATGAACCAAACGTAATACTCTATAATAAATACATTATAAAATTAAAATTGATTGTTAAATGCTCCCTTCTGAGGTGCAGACCACAATGCACAAGCTGATAAAGACAATATAACAAGTTTTTGTTAGGAAATTTGTCGTCATATGGATGTATGCTTTTTTGTTAGACTGTTTAAAATTACAAAGAAAAAAAATCTTAAAACCACAAAATAAAAGAAAAAACAAATGCAAAGAAACAAGATCCGTTTCTTCACTACTTTTTAGAGTTCTAGTAATATTATATTATTTCCTATACTTCCCAATAATTCTGGAAGCTCAGAGGACTAAAGAATTTTCTGTGTTATGTATTCCCAACAAAACAAGAATTAAAAAAAAAAAACCATGTGTTGTGTTCAATTATATATAAATAGACCATATGGGTTGGGGACGGTTAATGGAATAATAATAATGCAAAAAAAAAAAAATTAGTAGGCAATAGCATGATACATAACCAATAATGAACACCTAGATCATAGAGAAAATATTTGCACTAAAAATAACTAAGGAAAAAGGCAAGTGAAACGTGAAATGATTAGTGTAGAAATAATGTTTTCTTTTGTATGATCTAATTACCATGAGATGGAAAATAATACATATATATATATGTATATGTTAGTTTATCAATCCATCTTAAAAATTTAAGTTGTTAGGAGGTGTGTCAATAATAGTTTAATACTTTAACACTCCTCCTCACGTGTGGGCTGGACAATAGACAATCGTGTGAGTAAATTAACGAAAATAGTAGGAAATAGGCCAATATAAAAAGCTTAAGAAAATATATAGGCCAATTTTTAGTTATAGAAATTAATAGGTCATAACTTGTCAAGCTATGGTTCATAACCAGCTAAGTTATGGATGAACTTGTCATGTTATGGTTCATAACCAGATAAGTTATGGACAATAACTTGTCAAGTTATGGTTCATAACCAGATAAGTTATGGACGAAAACAGTAATTTGGTCTATTTATTAATTTATGTAAACTATTGGCCTATTAATTTTAATTCATCTCAAATTTTAGCCTATTTCCCTCTTTCTCCCGTAAATTAATTGAAAAGCCCAACATGTGAATATTTAAGTCTGAGATATATTAAAGACCCAACACATGATGACAATTTAAATGGGAATAAAGAGTGCAATTACGTGAATTTGAACTCAGGACCTCCCACTCTGATACTATGTTAATTTACCAATTAATTCTAAAAGCTTAAGCTATTAAGAGGTGGGCCAATAATAATTTAATACTTTAACAGTGTATATATATATATATATATATGTGTATATATATATTGAGACTTGTAGGAAATGGAAAATTTTGTTGCCATAGCATAGCTATCAGAAATTGGACAAACCCTTCAAACCAAAATTGTTTTTTTGGCCATTTTGTGGGCCGTCACTTCATTTTTACGCCAACCAATATTCCAATTGATGGCATCCAACCAAACCAATATATGGGTTTTGGAAGAGACTTTCCATTTAAGATTCAAAGATCACAATATGGCCATATTAGT